AACTCACATATCTATTAACAGTTAATACATATAATACATTGGGTCTAAAGAATGAATGGAACTGAAAATTGGAATATTTGGTCCAAGGAATCAGTTATCACTTTAGAATCTATATCTGAAGTTTCAGTGGATCTCAGGTCAAGTCTTATTAAAAAAAAAAAAAGTTTTGCACCCCATTTATTCGAAGTTACAACATCTTATTGATAATGGTTTGTCTGAGTGTTGGAGGTGTAATACTACTAATGCTTCTTTTGATTATATGTTTTGGTTATGTCCAGTAGTTGTCTCTTTTTGGATGAAAGTTATAGTACAGATAAATCTTATGTTAGAACACAATTTGATATTTTCTAACGTATTTATTCTTTTATCTTATCTTGTCTTCCTGTTTCTTGGAAGCAGAGATTTGGTAAACATAAATGGATTTCCTGAGCCCTTTTTATAGCTAAAAGACTGATACTACAATGCTGTAAACATAATGCAGTGGAGACTTAACCATGTTTTTAGCATTTGCATAGATGAAATGTAGATGGCACTTGCAAATGGACATATATATGGATATTTGGTCTGCCTTTGATGAAGATTACCTATAACGGATACTTCTGGATTTATGTTGTTATTTGGTTATTTACACATCAGCAGTTGTTAATTTTGGCAGGAGGGGGTTATGATTTTATTTGTCTTTGTTTTATTTAACTTTAGTTTGGTGAAATTCACAGTCAAAACAAATGTAAAAGATCACTAAAATCAGGGCTGTCCAAAATCTTCCTTTGGTTTTAACAATCAAACATTTCAATTTGATTCATAGATTAGGGGGAGAAATAAAGCACTCGAAGTGCATGACCAAACAGGGATGCCCACATGCTGGCAGCCAAAACATTTGAAACAATGAATGCTTTGTGAGCACAGAACGGGTGCCCTAAAGGTACTTTCCAGGGTACCTGGGAATGGCTTGGAAATGAATCAACCCATTTCCCTATGGTTTGGAAAAGGAATGGCATTGTGTATTTCCAAACCAATACATCATGCCTGGAGTGAGGCTCACCCCCTGTTACTCAGGGATTTGACTCCTCGGAGGCTCTGATGGAAGATCTCCATTGATTTATAGCTTGTCACTAACGATCTGTGATTCACAATATCAGGGAGAACAGAAAGAGTCACTCTAGCATGGAAAAGTAAGCAGAAGGGAATGTCTCTTCTCAGTTTTCAAGTGCTGAAATCTTGCAAACATTGTCCCTAAAGTCTCAAACTATTCAGCACAGAATTGGCACAACTAATGGGCTTGAAATTCCTGACAGTATTGTATTGTGGTCTAAGTTACCATATCATGTAAATGGGGAAGAGAAGTAGAGATCATTGGAAAAATATTTTTTTCCGCTAAAACACATCTTTGGACATATTAAAAACCCCAGCCACATGGCTTTAGAAAGCTTTGTAAGCAACAGCTCATCCCCCGCCTTTTTATTTTGAAGGCTGGCCCTTTAAGGTGTCAGCAGTGGAAATCTCTGAAGAATGCAATGCAATACCTCATACAGCTCATTTACTGTATTTTTCGCTCTATAAGACGTACTTTCCCCCCCTCAAAAGTAAAGGGAAATGTCTGTGTGTCTTATAGAGCGAATGTGTGTGTGCCCGACGCCCGGGACGCTGCCGGCTGCCTGTAGCACATGGCACCATCTGGCCGGCACGCGCTCGGCGCGCCCTGCTCCGCCCCCCCCTCCGGGACAGGTGAGAGCTGTGCTGCTCAGGGGGAGGCGTGCGGAGGAGGAGGAGCTGCGGGCTTTAACCCGCCAGCCACACAGAGAGACGGACTGCTCACCCCCACCGCCTGGGAAGACCTGCCGCCGCCGCTGTGCCGCCCGGAATGCCATCGCCGGCACGCTGCCAGCCGCCTGCACCACGTGGCACCACCTGGCCGGCATGCGCTTGGCGTGCCCTGCTCCGCCCCCCTCCTCCGGCGCAGGTGGGAGCTGTTAATCACAGGTCGGTGTGTGTTTTCAAATGGCAACCCGTCTTTTAATGAAGCCCATGGGGAAGTGATGGGGAATGTGCCTGTGATTGTCAGGAAGCTTTCCATGGATCAGTTATCTGTTAGTTGATCAGACACATTTTTTTAGGATCAGTGGATATTTGAACAACATTACCTTTGTGTATGAAGTTTATTCTTCAAAGGCTACTTAGTCTGCTGTGTGTTTGATTTACCATACAATATCCCATTTTTTGTCAGAAGTTTTTTTCTATTATTTACTAGTAGGGCAGCGTGGACATTACTGGCTTTTTTAGATTTGTTATTTAATTGTCTGCAGCAACTCTTGTATAACTGGTGTAGATTGTGGATTCCTTCAATAATTCCACTACTGACTAAGAAAGTGATGTCAGTGATTGTGAGCAACAGAGCTTCATAAATTCTGACTCTAGTGATGATGAGTTCTATGGGTTCAACGAAAACTAGAACAGTACTCGAACTTTAAAGTCTCTCTTTTGTTAATGACAGTGATGATGGTTCTTAATGCCACTGTTGACTGCTGTTCACTTTACAAGGTTGAAATACGGTATTACTGTATTCTGTTATAGTTTATTAAATAGTTTAGTAAACCACTTGATTCAGAATATTTTTTTTCTTGTTTTCCTCCTCTAAAAACTAGGTGCCTCTTATAGAGCGAAAAATACGGTAATCTGCAATGAAATTAGAATGGCAGCTTCGTTTCTATAACCTCTTGAAATATCAAGGTGCTGAAGCTGTTGCCTTGGAGATGTACATTTGGTTGAGTTTGGGTGAACAGGTTCAGTCCATACCCAGTGCAGAAGAATTATAATTAGTGTTGCATTGTGTGCAAATCTTGAGAAGTGACAGCAAATCGAAAAAAGGATGTGGGAGACTGCAAAACAGCCTTTGCCAACCTGGGCACTCTGGATGGGTTGGACTTCAGCTCCCTTCAGCCCCAACTGGCATGGCCAATGGACAGGAATGCTGCTGAGGAAGACCAGTTTAGAAACTCTAGATCTGGTGCCTCCTTGCTTCTCTTTGATTCTGCTCCGTTGGAAGAAGGATTAGGTGTGACAGTTGAGGTAAGAACACCAATCAGGTACAGGCTTCCCTGGTTCCTTGGGTAAAACTTCCATGTCAAGTTTTCAAGCTTATGTAGGTCCCATTTTGAAGTTATGTTTATGGGATAATCAATTCAAGTTGTGACAACCCAGATTCAGGCCGGACATCAGGAAAAGCCTCCTCACTGTCAGAACAATATGACAGTGGAACCAGCTGCCTAGAGAGGTGGTAGAGACATTCAAAACAAACTGGAAAGCCATCTGAGTGGGATGGTGTAACATGGTGTCCTGCAACAACAGGAGGTTGGACCTGATGGCCTTCATGGCCCCTTCATGGCCCCTTCTACTGTTCTGTGATTCTATGATTCTATGAGTGTAAAGCACTCTGTAGCAAAAGTCTTCCCAGGCTATGGATTTACTCAAGCAGCAACCATACTCTGCCCCAGCATGCTTCTACTTCTCTTTTACTGCCCTGTCCTTCCAGTTCCAAAAGAGTTTGGATATTTGACATAAAAAGTCTACAAAGAAAAAATAAGGCAAAGCCCAGTTGCATGCGCTCCTGATTTGATAAAGCTCATAGGTCAAATGATCAAACTGCTTTTTTGAACTCCTTTACTTTCAAAGAAATCTTTGAAAAATCTGTGGGGCTAGTTTATTCAAAAGGGAGAGGAGAGGAGAGGAGAGGAGAGGAGAGGAGAGGAGAGGAGAGAGGATGTTTCGTATACTAATTCTGCTGTAGCGTTCAAACGTAAGGAGAGCCTTGCTGGATCAGATCAAGCGATCACCCAGTCCAGCATCGTGCTCACACGGTGGCCGCCCAGCTGCCCACAGCAAAACCCGCCACCCAGCCAGCAGCACCCTCCTGCCTGCAGACCCAGCGTGCTGCCTCAAGATGACACAGTTGCCAGCAGTGCTAGTGACCACGGTGAGGCTCACCCTACAGGAGTTGATCCAATCTGCCTTTAAAGCCATCAGACTGGGCGGCCTGCACGGCACCATGTGAAAATTAATTCCGTAATTTAACTATGTACTATGTAAAGAAGCACCTCTTTTACTTGTCCTGAAGCTCCCACACATCTCCCACTTAGTTTTCTCTTACCTCTTGTTGCAGTAAACACAGCAGGTATATTGTGTTGAATCCAGCAGCAGTGGTACATCACATCCGGATGCTACACTTTAGGTACTAATAGCTAGAGTTGCGAGGTAGATTAAAGTGCTCCCTCCCTTAACTCTGAGGCTTGCAGGACAACCACAAGAGAAGGAACTTTCTCCCCTCCCCTCCCCTACCCATTTCATAGTATTCCCTGGGCACTTTTTCTGTTTCATTATCTTAGTCCCTGCAGTGTTGTTTGTTATCCTAGTCCCTGTTGTGTTGGCATGACTGATTTTAGTGTGATTTTATTGGCAATTTTGCCATTATTGCAAAAAGTTTAAAAAGATGTATTTTACAAGACTTTTAATAAATGGAATGAATGAATGAATGAATGAGCCTCCAGCCCATCTGCACACAAGACCTTCTGCTCAAGCCGATGGCACTAGCAGATCCCCCTGATCATGGCTGTGCTTGATATTAAAGTGTTATGCAGGGCAGGTGGATGGGAGAGGCCTCCAGCAATATTTCAAATCACATGATTGTTCTCCACCAGCAAGAATTAAATATATTCTTCGATAAAGAGACCACAACATTCTTAAAACACATTGCTTTTTAGTAATTTATGGAAAGAGGGATGAAGCTTGCTGTGATTCTCGGATCCACCCCATCTCCTAATTTCTTGCCCCACTTAGAAATCCCCGACATGGCCATCCAGCCCAGCACATTGCTAGGATTTTCCCTACTATTGCTGTCACAGTGATAGAAAATCAGTGGGAAGACCCCAGACAGGTACACATTTTGGCCTGTCCTAATCAGACATAATAAAATTGTTCTCACACTCAAACCACACAAAGCACTGAAATTAGCGATCAGTTTTGTTTCTGTTTTTACTAGGGTTGTCTATACCAGCTATACAAAGTCTGTAGACAATAATATGTACAGTGCTTCTTTAATAAGCTTTCCCGCGGTCTGCCAAAGGCCTGCCACTTCAACTTCTGGGTAGAGTCCGTGCCTTTTCAAATGCAGAGAGACGTCTTTCTCTTCTCTGTGGGCCAGTCCATTGCCTCCAAAAGATGTCCTTGGAAGAGCATGGAACTGGTGTTACATTATCAATGAAGTAGAAAGAACGGTTAATGTAAGCAGAGCCAGCATGCTAGTGTCGCACGAGAAGAAAAAAAGAAAAAGGGCTCCAGAACACAGGAAGATGGAATAATTGAATTCCCTTGAATGTCCAGTTGAAAACATCATAATCATTATACGAAAAAAGAAGCAACATTCCAATTCATTTATCACTTGTCATCCTAGTTTGTATTCTTTTTCTACTGACTCCTTCCTCTCCAAAACACTTTCTTGCTTTTTTAAAATTATTTTTAAAAAAGGTTACAAAGCATTTGCAGCAAAATGTGGCTTTGCTCAGTTTCTCAAACAGTCAGGCTTTATTTCAAAATACCTTATATATTTATATACTTCGTACTGGTAGAAATAAACTTTGTAGATCCACCCTTATAGGATTGTTGTTCATATTTCAAGATCATGAAACTTGAAGAACTGCTTTCCCTCTCGCTCTCATTTTCTCCGTTGCCAAATCTGATGCATTATTTTCCTTGGGTATTTGACTCCACACAAGTCAAGTCACTGTAGTTTCCTCTGGTACAGAGTTAAAGTGCAAATAAAAAAATCCCATTTGGCTTGTAAAAGCTGGAGATGGTTTAAAGTTTAAAGATTTTTGTCCTCTATCTGTCAGGGGATCCTTCACTGGCTGCTGTCAGAAGATTTTTTGTTAGGTTCTCGGGTGAATCTGCAATGACAAAATGAAGAAAAACAAATTATACTCAGTCCCTTGGGAACCATTTTGATTCTCCAGTTTAGCTGGCGTAAGCTGTCCTCCTCCATTGCTGCAAAGCCAGGAGAAGAATAAGCAAGAGAGTGCACGAAACACAGGCAAAGGAGAAAAGAACACCATCCCGAGCTGCAATAAAACCACCCTTTAATTCAAGAGCTTTAGAACAGTTGAGCCTTGCCCATCGTGGGCTGCTGCAAATCTTACTCCTTTTCCTGCATAAGCAACACCGGGATCATAAGCTGCAGCTAGGAATGCAGTGCTAAGATGCTGAGTGGCGCACCGAGCCACACACACATGTTCAGCTGCGTGGAACGAAATGCACGGGGGCTGCCTTTGTTACGCACCTTCAAGCCATCTCTGGCTTATGGGGACCCTGTCCAAAACATCCTGTCCGTGAGAGCCTTGTTTGGTCTTTGCAAACTCAAGAGTGTGGCTTCCTTTATGGAACTGATCTATCTCAGAGTTGGTCTTCCTCTTCCTTTTCTGCCTTTCCCTTTCCCTAGCATGATGGTTATCTCTAGTGAGTCTATCTAGCAGCTACTAAATCATGTTTCAGGGCTTTTTGTTGCCCTAAGTAACTTGGGAAAAGGATACCTAGCAAACCAACTCCTGCTGTATGCACCAAATCTGCCCCAGAGTCTTCCAAGGAGCCCTTGTAGATTGTCCTAAATCTCCAACCCAAGAGTGTGTCATCAGGTTCTGGCACCTAAGAAGGTTTTCTTGGTAGTGGCATCCATTCTCTGGAATGCTCACCCACATGTGGTACCAGCTGTGGTACCGGAGTGGATTTTGTGTCTGTCGAGGCGGGGCAAGGAGTCCTCTTCTGAGGAACAGTGCTTGGTGATGTAGTATCCTTCACAGTGACAATGACTGGGGATGCCTGCCCTCTTTGCGCACTTTTTTGATGTGTGTGTAAGCTGCTATGCCTTCCAGTGTTTCAGATGAGAAAAAGGTCCATCAGTGCTAGTCCTTGGCTTACTACACCGAATTTGGCAGCAGGTTCTGGAATGGCTGACATTCTGTTCCATGAATTAATTTGGAAGCTGCAGGTCAGGTGCAATCACTACAGCATGCAGACCACTCCCGGATTTCCCAGGCATCTTTGGTGTCATCCAACCTAGAGTCCCCTGGTGGCACCCAACCTGGTGTCCCCAGTCAGCGGTTCACAGCTTGGCATCCTTCAGATGTGTTGGAATAAACTCCCATAATTCAGATGGGAATTACTGGAAAAGCAATCCAATTGAACTGAAAGACATCAGGCTGGGGAAGGAGACTTTTGGATGCCCATCCAGGAGTCTTAGTTCCATTAGGAACACTGGGCAGAGAATGAGCACCTATGCTCTGGTCAAAGGCCCCACTCTGGCTGGCTTGCAGCACAGGAGAGAGCAGCTCCAGAGGCTTTGCTGGGCTGGCGGATGGTGAATGTGCACATGAACAGGAAGCAGAGAAGCGGGGCTTTCAATTCCACTCCCTCCTTCTGAGCATTAAAGCCTCACCTTTGACACGGGACTCTTGTAGCACACCTTGTTCTAATGAAAGGCATAAAGTGGGTGAAGTGATGCTTTTTATTGATTCAGCTTTTGATGGCGAGAGTGAGCTCCAAATAGCTCTTCTTTTGTCCAAAAGAAGTAAAATAGGTCAACAAGTGAGTCAAAGCTGGCGTTCTGGACAGGCCTTCGCTGTGGCAGTCAGAATATTGTCTGTTCTGCCTTCTGACTTTTAAGCACTGAAGGGGCAGGTTGGGGTGCAGGGGGAAGAATCCTCCTGGACACAGAATGCATAATGGGTGTTAAAGTTCGCTTAATGGATTAACTGTCATGAAAATGACATTTTTTTCATAATTAAGGGTATTTCAAGCTAGCAGCAATAAAATGAGGAAGCAACTGCCTGAGTTGCCCCATCCCTGCTTATCATGGGCCATCTTTGCAGGACCACCGGAAGAGAAGCAGAACATTGGGAATGCAAGTCTTGCAACAGCATCACCTGGTAAGGTGCTGTTTTTTCCACAACACCTTTGAGCAGGAGCAGCCTATTTGAGTAGTGAGAACATCAGCACCCATTCTGAAATAGTAACGTTATGCTGGAGAGACTTGCCTTCTCCCGTAGGTCCTGGTGATGAATTGGCTAAAGCACTCTGGGCATTTCACTGCCAAGTCACTGAAACTGGCACATGTCCCACTCAAGCGCAGTTCAGGGGATACAGGATTCTTACTGAGGCAGTGCGATATAAGGGTGGAGGGAGGTGGAAAAAGGATGGGGTTGAGATACAATGGAAAGAAGGGGTGAGGGGAAAGGGGGAGCAGCAACCAGCTGCACAAGACTCAAGCTGACCTCCCTCTGCCTGCCCCACTCTCATACAATCCAGTTTTGTAGCACTAATGAAAGATAATCAGAAAGGTAGCACGAGGCTGCTCTATTCGTTTATACTGTGTTTAGGTCTACAGTTCAGGCTCTGGTAGGGGAGCAACAGGCCTCTGCAATGGGCAGGCAGTGTGGGTAGGAGAGGAAAAAAGATCCCTACTCACTCTCACCCGAGGTCAGTGATGGAGAACCTTTTAGAGACCAAGTGCCCAAACTGTAACCCAAAACCCACTTATTTGTCGCAAAGTGCCAACACTCCAATAAAACCTGAAAACTGAGGTTTTACTTTAGAAAAAACAATGCACAGCGAGTACAGGCAAAAAATATATATCCTTGGCAGTGCACTGACCAGCCATCCAAAAGCTTGGCCGAGTTCTGGCGAAAGAGACGCGACTCGTGACCTCATCGCCGGGCGCCACTACTCCCTACCGAGCATGCGCATGGCCCCTCTGTGTGCTGTTATCTGATCAACGGCTGCTGGGGTGATGCTGGGGCGACTTGGGTCGCGAGCCGACAGGGAGGGCTCGTGTGCCTGTTGTGGCACGCGTGCCATAGATTCACCACCACTGCCCTGCCCCTGCGCTGGCGCACTCCCCTAACCTTGATATACGGGTAAAGTTCCATTGAAAAAAGGGCAATTTTGAAGAAGCCTTCCTTGAGTAGAGTTTTCTGCAGAGCTAATTTTTACAGTCCATTCCAAGCACACTCCAACCATCAAAATCTTACCAGGACACCTCATTTTTGTAACCCTTGGTGCACATCCCTAACCCTAACAGAGGGTTTTAGTTCCATTGAAAAGAGGGTGATTTTGAGAATGCCATTCTTGAGTGGCTTTTTCTCCACAGCTCAACTTTTGTTCCCATTCTAGGCACATTCCAACCATTAAAGTCATGCAAGGACACACCGTTTTTCCAACCGTGACCCTACCCTGGTACACAGCCCCAACCCTAACAGAGGGTTTTAGTTCCATTGAAAAGTAGGCGACTGAAAAAGCCTTCCTTGAGTAGCTGGTTCTGCACAGCTCATCTTTCCTGCCCATTTTAAGAAAAATTACAACGATAAAAATCTAACCAGGACACCTAGTTTTTCTTACCCTAACCCTACCCCGGTCCACTCCCCTAACCCTAAGAGAGGGCAAAAATTCCATTGAAAAGAGGGCTATTTTGAAAAAGCTTTCCCTAATTAGCATTTTCTGCATAGTTAATCATTTCTGCTGATTCTAGACACATTACAACAATCAAAATCTTACTAGGACCCCTCATTTGTCTAAACCTAACCTTACCTGGGTGCACACCCCCAACCCTAATAGAGGGCTAAAATTCCTTCAAAAAGAGGGCGATTTTGAAAAAGGCTTCCTTGAGTAGCTTTTTTTGCACAGCTCATCTTTCCTGACCATTCTAAGCACATTCCAACCATCAAAATCTTAACAGAACACTTGTTTTTTCTATCACTAACCCTATCCTGGTGCACAACCCTAACCCCAACAGAGGGTTTTAGTTTCATTGAAAAGAGGGTGCTTTTCAAAATGCCATCCTTCAGTGCCTTTTTCTCCACAACTCATTTTTTAGCCCATTCTAAGCTCATTGCAACCATCAAAATCTGACCAGGAAAGCTCGTTTGTCGAACCCTAACCCCTAACCCTAATAGAGGGCTGAAATTCCATCCAAAAGAGGGCTATTTTGAAAAAGCCTTACCTGATTAGCTTTTTCTGCACAGCTCATAATTTCTGCCCATTCCTGACACATTCTAACCTTCAAAAACTTACCAGAACACCTCATTTTTCTAACCTTGACCCTACCATGGGGCACACCCCTAAGCCAAACAGAGGGCTAAAGTTCCATTGAAAAGAGGGCTATTTTGAAAAAGCCTTCCTCGAGTAACTGTTCCTGCACTGTTCATCTTTTCTGCCCATTGTAGGCACATTCCAACCATCAAAATCATGCCAGGACACCTCATTTTTCCAACCCTAACCCAGTGATGGCGAACTGAGAGACCGAGTGCCCAAACTGCAACCTCAAACCCACTTATTCATTGCAAAGTGCCAACACTCAACAAACCCTGAATTCTAAAGTTTTAGTTTAGAAAAAGCATCTCACAGCCAGTCTAAGCAAAATATATATCTCCTTGGCAGTGTAGTGACCAGGCATCCGAAGGCTCAGATGTGTTGCAGCTCATGAGTTGTGGTTCGTGACCTCATTGCCTGGAGCCACTACTCCTTTCCGAGCATGCGCATGGCCCCTCTGTGTGCTGTTATCCGATGCTCAGCTGCTGGGTTGATGCTGGGGCGACTTGGTTCGCATGCCGACAGAGTGGGCCCCACGTGCCTGCAGCAGCAGGCGTGCCATAGGCTCACCAGCACTGCCCCAGGTCCTTTATTCCTCCCACCCCGCACTCCATCATCTGACCAGTGGGGTGATTCCAAGGCTCCTGGTCCTCCCCCGGCATCTCCCAGCGGCCTCCAATAAACCTCGTGGTCCGCCATCCTTGGAAAAAGATGAGATGCAAATTGCTCCCTCGGACCTTGGCCTCTGGCCCTCTATGCTGTTCCCTCATCAGGGCCATCGGGCCTGACGCTGAGGGGTGCCTCAGGGATCGCGGCTCTTTCGTGACAGAAAGTGCCTTCTTGGCTCCTGGTGGGGGACAGGCAAGTGCAGAGGTAGCTCTGCAAGGAGAACGAATTCATTATGGCATCGCCACTCGGTGCCCTGGAAGAAGAGTTTGTGGTGAGTTTGCAGAGTGTTCTGGTAGGTGGGAAAGGGGAGGGGAGGGGAAGGGAGGGGAGCCCAGATGTCAGATGGCAAAAAGCCCATCTAGTGACACATGAAGAGCAGGAAGAGGAGGAGGTGAGGTCCACCTCTACCACTCCTCCTGCTCTCAGTAGGATGACTACACGCCTCAGAGTTTAGGGGCATTGCAATAGGATCAGATTCCAGATTTCTAGTGACTAGTTCTAGTGGCCTTTTTCATGGTGGAATGTGCTCCCCAGAGAGGTTCTCCTGCCACCAATGCTATATTCTTTTCAGTGCCAGGTAAAAACCTTTTTATTTACCCAACATTTTAATATTTAAATTTGTAACTACTTTTATTCTCATGCTTAGCCACATTCTATCTTATTTATTGCATTCTACCTTATCTTATTGTATTATGTGGGTTGTACTTTTTCTGTTTATTTATTGTTTATTTGATTATGTTGTAATCCATCCTGAGACACTGTTAAGGACAGGGTAGAAATGCTGTAAACAAACAAACAAACACTTTTCCTTTTTCCTGTCAGTGTAACTGGGAGCCACATTGTGAACAGTATCCAGAGATTTCCCTCGAAGCAAAAGTGAGACAACTGAGGCATTCTTACTTTGGACACACGATGAGAAGGCAGGACTCACTGGAGAACACAGTTATGCCAGGGAATATTGAGGGCAGAAGAAGCAAAGGTGGACCAGATATGAGATGGACTGACTGCAGAAAGGAAGCCACAGCCTTGAGCTTGTAACAGCTAAGCAGCGCGATCACGGAGGGGCCATTTTGGAGAGCTTTCATCCATAGGATCTCCATAAGTTGGAGGTGACTTGATGACACTCCAGGACTTCTGGTCCATGAACGCCACTGTGGAAGCAGGCTCCAGTGGTTTGCCAACAGCAGCAAGTGGGGTGATGGGCTTGTACTGCTGGTGTGCTGTCGGAGGTTGCTTGCAGGTTGCTAGCGTAACCAGACTGGCAGTGCTGGAGGTTGCACATTGTCATGAAGTAGAGCAGGGCCGGGGAATTGGGTGCCCTGCTTTGAGCTATAGCCCCCATCCTCTGTGCTTTCTGGTCCACATGGGAGCTGTAGTCCAAAGCAACCGGAGGGCACAAGCTGGCCCATCCCAGAAGTCGAGTCTTTCCCATCGAGTTATGCTGTGCAGAATTTGAAGTCTTCTGGGCTGCTGCTTGACATCATGAAGAGCTAAACATGGCAAGTTCCCCCTTCCCCTGAATGTAAAAATTCTCCTGAATGTGTACTCCCCCTTCAAATTCTTCAGAGAAGTCGCCAATAAAAATGTCATCCCTGCATCAGGGTACATATTTGGAGGGGGGGGGGGATAATTTCTTATGTAACCTGTGGGATAGACCACAGTCCAGTTTGCATGGGTGCATTGCAGCCAATAAGTACATAGCCATTTCCTTTGTGTGAACAATTGCAATGCAAACCAATTCCACCTCTCAAGCTGCCTTTTTTGTCTTTGCTGTTTTTCTCTGATGACTGGAATTGATTTTCTCTTTTTATGAGTCTGTTAGGATCCCTGAAATGCTTCTGGAAATGTCTAATTTGCTCATAGAATGGATTCCTCTCTTTCTAAAGAACCAAAAGGAGATTGTTAAGGTATTGACTTGGGTCTTATGACACAACACCCACCTTGGGTTAATTTCCCACTGAGGTTGGTCATTGTGCCAGGCAGCTGGGTAGCCAGTCTGTCGTGCGAACCCAGTGGCAGGGGTGGCCTGAAGATTCGACACCCTCATGGATTGTTTCAGGAGTATTTGAAGGTTATCTGACCCCGGACCAGAGCAGGCCAGTCACCTGGGTGACATGCAAAAGTGACACACACAGGTGCTCAGCACAGGGCAGCAGGCAAATGACACCACGGTGCCCTGCCGTGTTGTGTGAACCAGGCCAATGCTTTGACGGCTGCTATTAGCCACACAGGGATCTTTGAGGAAAGGTAAGGCTGTTGTTTTCGCTGTTAGTCGCAAACCCATCACGACCCCATGAACAACATTCTTCCAGGCGCACATTGGACACCTTCCGACCTGAGGGGCTCATCTTCTGGAGTCGTATCTCTTTGCCTTTGGTACTGTCCATGGGGTGTTCATGGCAAAGATACTGGAGTGGGTTGCCATCTCCTTCTCCAGTGGATCACCTTTTGTCAGAGCTCTCTGCTATGACCTGTCCGTTTTGGGTGCCCCTGCATGGCATGGCTCATAGCTTCATTGTGCAACACGAGCCCCTTCGCCACATCCATGAAGGGGAGGTGAGGCTACACATCATGAAAATAAAGAAACGAAGATGCCAAATGCCACTTGAACACACAACTCCTTGCTGAGTAACAGCACCATTAAAATCTCTACTGTGTGCTGTAATGACCCTTATACCGACCCCTCTCCCATGTTCAGGACCTCAGATTGCCAAAAAAGCTGTTTGCAAAATTTTCACTGAGCCCAATTTTTACTTGTGCATTCTGTGCAGATGATGCTTGAAGAGATGACTCAAACTTATGCACTGATTTACCTTCACTGGTTGCAATCATTTTTGTAATGTTTTCAAGTAAGAAAGCGAAACGTCACTGGAATGTATATTATAAGGCATCCCACACAAACTAATTAAACTAAGTCCTGTACGGAGATGAGAGAAAAAATACATGGTAGGCTAAGGTGTGTGTGGGGGATTATTTCATTTTAAAGATCCATGTCCATGGCTACTTAATTGAAATGAAATACAATAATCCACACAGAGCAGACGGAACCATATATCTGAATATTAATGAGTCTTCTAAGTACCTAACAACAATTTCTTTTTACAGCTGGTAAAAAGGATGCCCAGTAAAGGAGCAAAGATACAAAACCAAAAAACAGAGACCTGTGTGTGTGTCATCAAGTGCTGGATGCTCTCACTGAGAAGGTGCTTGAGGGAGGCATATTGGCCTGCTTTGCGTGTCACAACTACCCATGGTTTAAACCATCGAGTGGAAGGAGGGGTGAGTGCTGGCATCTGGCTGCCTGCCCACCCCTCCTGAATGAAACAAGCCAGGACCACTCCATCCCTGTGTTGTCATGACACCCAAACTCAGATTTGGACTCCATTGGTGGAAGAATGGTGCAGACGTGTAACCAGTGGGTGAACTTCCATTGTGTGCTTGTGTAGATTGTAGCTCAGCTTGATGGTTCTCTTTACTTTAATGAAAATGCGCATGGTCCAGATTTCACTCAGGACCAGGACACACGGCAGGGGGCATTAAGTTCTCTGCCTTTTCTTGAAATTCCACCTTCCCACAGGGGGTGGGTTTTAAGGTGAAGGGGTGGGGAGAAAAGCTTCAATTTTCTTCAATGGATACTTTTTTTTCTTTCTCTTTCAATGCCCTCACTCTGGGGGGCGGGGGGATGTGGAATTGCCATTAGCTCCGATTTTACCCCTAATTCATGATCTATGGAATAGATTTACTTCTAAAACATCCAGTTGGAAAACAAAACTATAAAACATGAGAAAATACAATATAAAAGTTGGAACATTTAAAACTACTGTATGAAAATAGAAAACCCCAATGTAAAACCGAGAAATGCGAGGTAGATGCAATTTAAAACCATGGAGAGTGACCTATAGAAATGCTTGTGAAAATAAGATGGTCTTTGCCCAGTTTCAAAAAGAGCACATACTCAACAGGGTGCCCCAGGTGGGAACACCCTACAGATGCCCTATGAATCATTCCCATTCCCAGCCATATTCATGACAGTGCATGGGATGCTCGGACAGGGAATTCTGGGAAAGGGATGGGGCAGCCACAGCAGAAAGTTTCCACCCAGGACTGGGCTCAGTTAGAATTATTGCTCTTTCTGCAATGGAGCTGGTTTAAACTGCACTTTTAACATCCTGTGATCAGAAGTGCAGTTGAGAGTGATCATTGACAGTCAGCACCAGCCCTGCCGAAAGGTGGTTATTTTATTCCTTGGGGCAAATTACTTGTACGGGGGTGGCATGGTGATTCAGTGCAATTGAGCTGCCCAGCAGAGTTCAGCTGAGGACTCCCCTTGGAGTCATCCAGGCAGCCAGTTGAGATGCTGGTACCTGGGCAACGAGGCAACTTGCTGGTGTTTGCCAGTGGTTTGAAGGAGGATGAAAAACGGGAGGGGGGCAGCACAGCAGAAAGCATCTTGTTTCCTGAACTTGAGAAAAGAGAGGCAAAGAGAAAAAGGACTTACTCTGGTGGTCTTGACTTTATTGCCGGTTGCGCACATCCATCCTGAATTGTCCGGCAATGTCTTGCATTCCTCACCCTCTAGGCAGGGCTCCATTTCACACCACCATTTCCCAATGACTATTGATGCTAAAAGGGAATCAGCAAAACATTTGTGAATATTCATCTTGCTCCCCTAAGCATGTTTCCCTGGCACAAGTTTTGTGGAGAAAGTACAAAGCATCAAAGTAAACCAGGCCAGGCCATACCACCAGCCCCGTGGGACTCATTTCTGCCTCACTCAAGTCCACAGCTCATACTGAGAACTGCTGCAACATGGCAGAATGCTCCATGAGGTTATGGATCCCAGCTATTACCTGTGCTAGCCACAAATGATTTCTCTCTCTCCCTCTCTCTCTCTCCTTCCTTCCTTCCTTCCTTCCTTCCTTCCTTCCTTCCTTCCTTCCTTCAGATTTCCTATGCCATTATTATAATATTTTTTTAAAGAAACCAAATAGTTTGTATGATAAAGTCATGACCAAGTACAATAAAACCCATCATTAAAACAATAAAAGAATGATGAAAAATGATACAATCTCATTAAATAACCAGTGGTAGCTGACAGTGTTAGTGGTCAGGAAAACATCTGGGCAAACAAGTGCCCTCCACACCAGAAGCCCACCTGATCCCAACGGGGAGATCCTTCCACAAGGTAGGTGCCACCACTAGGAAGTCCCTTCTCTGTCCCATGGCCAAATGGGCTTCGGTGGGCTGTGGCATGGCTAGCAAGCCCAGCCCCTCTGATCGCCAGGGTGGCTTATATGAACAAGGTGGTGTCTCAGATGAGCCGGCTCTGAGCTGTTCAGGGTCTAACAAAGCAGCAACAATACCTTGAACATGGCAGGGCAGTTAATCCGTGGCCAGTGCAGAGATGCCGGCACTGGACCCCCAGTTCCCCGCACAGCCACCTTCTGCACAAGCTGCAGCTTCCAGACCGATCCTGAGGGCGGCCCCCATATAACATGCATGTCAGCAGTCCAGTCTTGAGGTCAAGTACAATGACAAGAACCAGAGTGTGGAAAAGTACCGAGATCTAGTGCATCTGACATGGATGTCATCCATCCCCATCAATTTAATATTTCTGGAAATCTTTAACACAGGGCAGTGGTGGCGGGCAGGTGGGCGGGGGGGGGATATTTTTCACCCCCTTTTCCCACCTTGAAATAAATGGACATGTTGGGGGAAAAAATCAAAAGATATACAATATTTACTCTCTAATCAACATAAGCTTATTTTATTAAACTTATTCGAATATAAAATGCATAGATTAAAACAGAGCATATGGAATGTGGTATACTTATGAAATTTGAAGGACATGTTCATAGTTTTACTTATTTTAGATTGCCTTTTAAAGTAAAAGAAAACAAAGAAACCCTTCCAAGGAAGAACTAGAACTCAGCCTGATTCGTGGAGCGTATTCCCAGGTGAGCACACCTAGGACTGCAGCATCGAATGTAGAAAGGCCAAAGCCGCAATCCTATCTATGCAGGCTTAGACAGAAAATGGTCCTACAATTTTCAGTCTTCCCAGCCAGCATTCCCTGAAGTGGACCTCTGTTCGATATGGCAAGTGCTCTCAGATATCTATTCAGGTATGTGCAGAGTTTGCTGAAAGCATTTATCATGTCCTTTTGTATCACGACTCTATTTTTTCATGTTGTGTTTGTTCCAGAGCATTGCTTTTATTCTGTTTCAAGAATAAAGACACGATCATATCCAAATGGTTTTTATTTATTACGTCGAAACCATCACATTCTTTGATGGTAGGTAAAAAAAGCTTGTCACAGAAAAGTTAACAATCCCTATTTAGCAAAGTAAATCCCAGTGCAGCAATCAGAGGCTTGAATTGCTGCAAAGGGGAAAAATGCTGTTAAGAGCAAAGAAAATATAAGGTTATTTTGTATTTATTTCATTCTACGTCTACTAGGTTATTGTTACATGCTCTCCACTTTTGCCAGCAATGAGAAATTCCAGGGTCAATACTACTAGGTTTAACTTTCTTTGCATGAAAGAGCACAGAAAACTTAAGGTGTCTTTGTAATTTGCTTTATTGATAGAAATATGAGTAGAATAATAGTGAGGGCTTTTAGACAATAAGATCTCTGAAAGAACAACTTGGGTGCACCCCTTAGAAACTCTTGGCTCCCTCCTCAGTCGGCCTCTTTACATTCTGAACAGCTCCGTCCCTCCTTCCCCCTCAGCTCTCCGAACTAACAAAACTGGAGTTTCAAATTCTGTCTTGAAGCTCATTCTGATTTGAGTCTATATAACATCACAAGCACTGCCTTTTTGCATGGAAATCCATGTGTATCCATACATATTTTCCCAAATGTATGCATTAATAGTGCACATCTTGGAAGGTATGTATGCCTGTCCATTGATTAAAGTGCATGTTTGAACACTTCCCAGAAGCACACATTTTTAATGCACATTTCCCAATGTGTGCATGCTGGCAAGTGCTGCAAGTGTGCATCATATTGCACACTCAGAAATAAATGAACTTCAGCCAAAGGTTGTATCTGAGTCCACATTTGGTCCAGAAGGGGAGAACTGGGTAAATCCTGATCAAAAAGGAACTCAAGTGGATTTTGCAAACATCTCTCCCTTCTACCAACCAAGAACAGGCAGCAACTTACAGAAGGTGACAAGGGGTAGGGTTTTTATCCTATTATTATATGGTGGTGGTGATGCAATTCCTTAATGCAGAGGGGCAAGAAGACCTATGGCCCTTAAGGTCTTGTTGAGCTCCAATTTAAATCTGTCCTACCAGGCCAACATAACCAACTGGGTGAGTTGGACTGCATGCCCTGTCACAATTAGGAGTGACACAGGGTGCAGTCCAACAGCATCTGGAGTGACACAGGTTTCCCACCCACTTCCTTAGCACATCTAATTTTCACATGCAGTGAGAAAAGTGTGAGATCCAAAGGAAATATTTTAAACATCATGGCATGAAATGGCATAAATAAAAGAATGGTAAATCTCACAGTACAATGCTCTTCTTGTTTGTGGCCACTGTTCCTGAATGCAACCAGTCGTGTTATCACTGACCTTAACTGAAAGATGAAATAATAACCCACCTTATCAAACAGCCACCTTATCAAACTACACCCAGCAGGTAAACTTTCAACAGAAGCATTCAGTTGTGGCAGACAAAGAAGCACGCCTGACGAGGACACATACGACTTCTAGAAATTACTTGGGGGTGGTCAAAGTCATCTGCATCCACAGGGATAAAGGCAACATGAATTTTTGGAAATCAGCTCAGTTGGGGTTTCCCAAAAGCGTAAGCAAGTTAATTTGATGCTTTAATGCACTGTCTCCAGAATACATGAAGGTTAGAAATACCATACAAAGATGAGTCATGCTTGAACCTGATCTGTATGAAGTCTTCTCTGAGTGGTGCAAAAGCTCCCTGCGGCACTATTTCTCTTTCTCCCCGTCACCGCATGGCACATAAAGGCGTTGGGCAGATGCATTGTGAGTGCAGGTATCCGGGCTTGCTGTTTGCCATGTTTCCTTTTGCTTAGCTCTGGAATGTAAGCCTAAAATAGTGCAAGTAAGTCTCAGAAAGCCGTGTCGCAAGGACCAAATGCTATGGAAATATAAAAATGATCGAGTGGCCTCTATAAAATCTGTAAAAGGTATTGCTCAAGAAAACACCAGTAAAAAAGGATCCCTGGTTTCATCTCTTGTTTAGGGATGTTGCAGTGGAAATTAGTTCAGTTTGTATTTTACTTAATTTCTGACTTTCAACCCATTTTCTGTTATCCTTCTGTTAAAGGTGCACTTCTCTGAATTTTACAGTGGATTTCTGCTATAAAATGTCTCCATTAGGGGCATATGCACAAAAGTGGCTACATTAGTGAAAATACCATTAAAATGGATATTAGGAAAATTGCTTGCCAAAGGTATGTATACTTGCAAAATTACACACAAAACTTCATTTATCTGAAGAAATGTATACAAAAATGCATTCTTTAAAAAGCTAGTGTTTGAGATAAATCTAACTTAAGCCTGGAAAAGTTTTTAAACTTTGGGATAAACTGAAGACTAGAAAAATGAGAGGCTGAAAGAAACCAAAACTGATAGAGGCTTCCATCAATATTCTTGTTTTCATTTGTACGCTTAAACTGTCTAAACACTTTAAACCTAGAAACATGGCATTCAAAAGTGGGTTGGTTGGGCATATTTAAGTTACCACTGGACAGTTGGGGTCAAAATCTATCATCACATTTGGTTTTAAAGCAACTAAGTATTTGCAAATACATGCCTCAAATGTCTCTTTCAAAACTGAAACACTGATTTGGGGATTGGTATTTGATTTGTGTCAGCATTTGATTTGCATAGTCACTGATCATACAGACTGACAACATCAGTAATGCTGCTTGGGTTCAGCTGCAAAAGGTTTGGAGGATGCAAGGCAGGAAAGGTTACTTTTCTCCAATTCTGATTCTCCCCTCCTGAAAAGCTGCTGCAGAAGTTTGATAGTCCCTCCAAAAGAAATTAAGAGGGTGGAGCTCAGTGGGAACAGGGAATCTCCTTCCACTTTTCACTGCTAGAATTTGTTTCTTCTGCAACTCGAAAGATTGCTTCCAGCTCTGAATCAACCCATTCAAAATTGAAAGGTGACACTTAAGGTTGCATTGCCCTTTTAGAATTAAAATACTGATAAGGGGGTCATACTGATGTCCACAGATGTTTCATATCAGTCCCTAAAACTGGTAGCAGTTATAATACCATCTACTAGCCAATCCAAAGACCATTGCCTTTGCTAGATTTTTGGAATGGTCTTCAGTGGGACTTATGGCAGCTTCCTCCCAGTCTGAGGGCCAAACTTCAGGTAACACCAAACATGTCCCTGCACACAGCAGGAATCCCTTCTTTAGTCATTACTAGAGGCAGCATGTGGTGTAGGATCAGAGTAGGAACTGCAGAGCAGGGAATACCTTCCCCACATGGTCCAGATGGAAAACAGGGCTAAGAGCAGTGCTGGAAAGTTTTTGGTTGGCAGGAGAAGAGCTAACCCAGCCTTCCATGCATTATGGTCCCAGACCTACTACCCCCTGCCTGTATTTCCAGTAAAATCAA